TAATGGTCATTTTGCAGTAACTTTTTCTACATATTTACATAATTTTGTATGTGTTTTATTTATTTCGTATAATGTAACCATCACCATTGTTAGAATTTCACTTGGCTGGGATTAATTTTATATACATTTTCGTGTCATTCATGAACATATTGGGGCTAAGAGTGAGGTTTGGCGCGCCTAAAACCGGTTTAAACTCCCCAGTGGTTTAACTACCACTGACCGTTCCAAGGCGGTACCCCTTTGTGTTCCTTCACGTGTTTTTCTTGTCTGGAATGTTACTTGTTTTTGGATGTTTACATGTTTTGTGATGTCTGTCTTGTTGGATTGTCGTTGACGGTATGTATTTTCTCTCCCCCCCCCCTTCCATTTTTAATCCCCCCATCCCTCCCACCTTTTCACCCGTACAGCCCTTTTCCCTTTATTTTTTTTCCTTATGTGCCTGTTTTTGTTTACATGTCCCGCTCCTTTCGCCCTTGTTTTCACTCCAGGTACTTGTTTGGTGCCTTCTGGGTGTTCTGCTTGGGTGTGTCCGGGGGCGGTGTCCTGTGATCGTTGCCTTTGCCTTGTTGATCTTTATTCTTGTTATTTTAAGAATACATTTTCATGTATAAACCAGAAAGACATAACAAAACATAAGGATACATGTACATATATAAATCAGAAGGACATGACAAGACATATGTATACATGTTCATGTATTAATCAGAAAATATAACAAAACTTGTACATGTAAAAATCAGAAAGACATGACAAACTTAAGGACCTATGTTCATGTATTAATCAGAAATACATGACAAGACATAGGTATACATGTATAAATCAGAAAGACATGACAAGAAATATGTATATATGTTCATGTATAAATCAGAAAGACATGACAAAACTTAAGCATACATGTACATGTATTAATCAGAAAGATATGACTAGACATATGTATAAATGTTCATGCATTAATCATAAAGGTATAACAAAACTTAAGGATTCATTTACATGTTTAAATCAGAAAGACATGACAAGACATATGTATACATGTCCATGTATAAACTTGAAAGACATGACAAAACTTAAGGATATATGTTCATGTTTAAATAACAAAGACATGACAAGACATATGTATACATGTCAATGTATAAACCAGGAAGACATGACAAAACTTAAGGATTCATGTGCATGTATAAATCACAAAGACATGACTAGACATATGTACACATGTTCATGTATAAATCAGAAAGATATGACAAAACTTAAGGATATATGTTCATGTTAAAATCACAAAGACATGACAAGACATATGTTTACATGTTCATGTATAAATCAGAAAGGCATGACAAAGCTTAAGGATACATGTGCCTATATAAACCAGAAAGACATGATTAGACATATATATACATGTACATGTATTTATCAGAAAGACATGACAAAACTTAAGGATTCATGTGCATGTATAAATCACAAAGACATGACTAGACATATGTACACATGTTCATGTATTAATCAGAAAGACATGACAAAACGTAAGGATATATGTTCATGTTTAAATCACAAAGACATGACAAGATATATGTATACATGTTCATGTATAAATCAGAAAGACATGACAAAGCTTAAGGATACATGTTCATATATAAACCAGGAAGACATGACAAAACATCAATATATATGTACATGTACATGTATAATATACATGTACATGTATAAATCAAAAAGCCATGACAAGACATATGTATACATGTTCATGTTTTATTCAGAAAGATACATGTACATTTATGCATAAAGAAGTTAAGACGTTAGTATAAGTCACCTCAAAAACACATGCTAAAAATGCTATCCATTCTATTACAAAACTTATTTTAACTCTGAAAATCGATCCACTTCTTACATTTTATTTCTTTCTTGGGTGCCATTTATATCTTTGCATCCTGAAATCTGGCGACATAAACACAAAAGCCGACACAGGAACCCACGAAACTACATTACGACGATGTGGCACGCGCATGACAATGTGATATAACACATAATAATAAAATTAAAAGAAATCAGATTTTCTTTCACCATACAATTAGCCACGACATTAAAATGTTACTTCCATATCTTTTGTCTTATTGTCATATCTCGAGTATTCATATCTTGTGTCGCATTATCACATGTCGCGTCGCATTGTCATTTCCCATGTGTCCTATCGCTTGTCGCATTGTCATTTTTCACATCATGCCGCGCGTCGACTTTAAATTGAAATCTAATAGTACTTTTGACATTATTGCACGATACATAATAATGCGACGTATTCATGATAAACGTATATCACACAAATATCGTGACAACATTAAGAGTCGTGTTTAAGTTTTTAGACACGACCCTACACATCAAGTGAAACATGACAATGTAATTCGAAATTATACATTAGACATTATATGTATTCATTGCAGGTTAAGAGTTATAATTGTCCGGTTAAGTGAGGTATAACATAGTAAGCACGAATATTTTGTTCTCGCACGTCTTGATATGGATACATAACTGAAAGGCGAGTAAATCGCCACTCGAGGACTTCGCATTGCAGTGAACACATCGTTTTGCGTTATACGGTTTTCTTTATTGAGAGTACACGTGGTGAATGTCCTTCAAATTATGGGTTTGATTCATTTCTGAAAAAAGAACTTTCTTCTTTCAAAGAAGAAATAAAAGTGGAAATTTCAGGGTATTCAGAGAAAAGCATTCGCAAGTTGCAAAAAACTGTCAGTAAACGCTCACCTGTTGACTTTAAATATAAAGAGAACAAGCGACAGTACGATTTCAATTGTGAAGTTTTACAAGACATTGGGCGCGTACAGTCTTTAGTGAAGTCAGGAGAACAGTTAAGTTCGCTTCGGTTGCTTGAGTGTACAGTGCAAAATAATACATAAGAGGAATAAACTTGTCAGGTTAGCAGACAAATCCCCTGCTGGGTGGGGAACTGTCGCAGAATACGAGTCTGACGAATTGGCAAGTGATAGCGACAATGATCGTTAAATTCGTAAAGCCGAGGCAAGGGCATTGTCAAAGAAGAGAAACTTATCCATTAGTCGAGGTCCTGCGACTAATTCTATTTCTACTCCTACTAGTAGTCAATTTGAAACTTTTTGTCCCGTTCCCGACATCAGCAGAACTTCCCCGGGAATTATCACGTACCAGTCCCCAACAGAAATCAAAGGCGATAACCGAGGAATGTCATTCAAGCCACAGCCAGTCGAAACAAACTGATGAAAGACAGTTTAGTGATATAGATGAGTATTTTTCAGCTCATAGTTATTTTTGTAATTTTTCAGTAAATGAAGTTGAAACTGATATTTTATGATCACATTCAAGATATTTTGAATTTCAATATGTTTCTTAAGATGATAATTTTGAAGTAAATTCGGGCGTAAAGGGTAGACTGAGATTACACGCTGATTATTTGTGAAATGTTTTAGAGGCATCTGATTTTATTTTTGACGCAGTAAAAAAGCTTACGTCATACCTTTTTACAATATTACTCAATCATATTTCATGAAAAATAATGAATCTGCATTTGACCATTCTGATTTTGTAACTGACGCAGTTGCTGATTTAGTTAAGTCTTGCAGTGTGTTAGAAGTGCCTTTTCAGCCTTTTTTGGTAAACCCTTTTTCAGTGTCTGTGAACAGTTCGGGTAAAACGCGTTTAATTTTAGATTTAAGTGTCATGAATACATTTGTTAAGAAGGAACTTTAAATTTTAGGACTGGAAGGTTGCGTCAGATTATATGTTTAAGAATGGTTTTATGTTTAAATTTGACATTTCATCTGCGTATCACCACATTTTTTTGGATTTTCATGGACTGAGAACGCTACGCTTAAATATTATGTTTTGGTCCGCCTGGGCTCCTTGCCACTGGTTCTTGTTGCTGGGTCATATGGGGGTTGCGTTCATTGAACGCCACCTTTCCTCGTTGATCTTATTTATCATATTTTTACTGTATTACCATTTGGGTTGACGTCGGCACCGTTTATTGGGACTAAATGTTTAAGATTTATTGTAAAATTCATTCGTCTTCAGGGAATCAGATTTGTTTTGTTTTTAGATGATGGGTGGGGAGTAAATAAAACGTTGGAATGTACGCTTAAAGATGCTGATTTTGTTAAAGATGTCTTCATCAAAGCAGGTTTTTTGATCAATACTCGATATAAACTCCAGTTCGAAATTTAGAATGGTTAAGCTTATTATGGAATTTAAAGGATAAGGTTTTAGAAATTCCCGATAGGCGTGTGAAAAGCGAAGTACAGTGTAATACCTTCATCATAGGTAAATTTCCTTTCGTGTCTGCGCGAGATATGGCGAGGTGTACTGGTAAAATTATTTCACTGATTCCAGTATTATTATACCAGAGAGGTTTTACTTGAAATGTTAAAAAGATTTAGGTCTAGATAAGACCAAGTTTGGACTTTATAGTTTGTGGCGGATGTACAGCTGCTGCTAATTTTGATATATCAGATAGACTATTTAAACGACACGGTAGTTGGCGTAGTGAGAAAGCCAAAGATGGTTATGTGAAGGACAGTATAGAAAATTTATTATCTGCATCAAGTTTAAGTGTTTAATTTGTCGAATATTTTATGATTATCTATAGGCTGTTATCATAGCTAAAGTTAATTGATAGTGTATATTGGTTACGACATTATGAACGTTATAATTAAATTGGTTAAAGTTTATAACTATCTCCTTCTTTGTTTTTCTCGATATTGAAACAATGCGAAGGCCTTTATCCTACTTGAGTGTTGTTGTTTATTCTGCCTAAGACTGAAGGTTTCACAACTCTTATTAGTTGATTAATAATTTATTTTCGGTCAAGCAGAGCGAATTAGAAAATAAATGAAGTAAATATCACGTGATTATCATATCATGTATCTACCATAGACAGTATCACTTTTATCATCAAATATGAAGTACGTCAAGTAGGTAATGTAATTTTAAACTTTTTTTACCGTGTGGTTTAATCAGTCAACTAAATTTAAAAGCCTTTCAACTGAATTTTACTTCCTGAAATAATTTATATAAAGTTTATAAAAACCTAAATGTATGCAAACCGTTCCCATGATGTATGGACATAATATTTTCGTGAGTAATAATCTTATATAAATTTTTAAAAAGCACAGGTTTTCATGCGCAATATTTTAATAAATTTCTTGTTTAAAACGTTGCTGTTTTAGAAACATATTATTATATCTTTTGCAAGATTTATAGTCTCGTTTTGAACGGAACGTTTTGAAATCGTTCCAATGAGGCTTCTTTACTTTTCTCATTCTATGCGGCGATATTTTAATGAGAAAAATGATGTGATATCACAAATTTCTGCAAGCATACTGGAAAAGGCACAAATGCTTCAATGGGAACATTTACCTTTAATATCCATATATGTTAGAGATATTATTTAAAGTGATACCTCAAACGAAACGTTTTAAGAGATTTCAGTTAGATTTTCAAAAATTAAAAATCGATTGATGATGATCTGCCGCACAGGTTTTATATGCTTAACATAGATCTGTATTATTTATATTATCGTACTTAACTACATTATTAAAACATGACTGTGTTTTTTCAGCTATCCCTTTGTATCCTCTGCCATCTCCTTAACTGTACACTCACACAAGGTAAGCCTTTCTTGAAACACTTTTTGAAAATAATTGTTGTTTCCTTTAGTTATAACTAAAACATTTGACCGTATAGTTTGTGTATAATAAAATTAATGTAGGAACGTTTTCAGTTTATATTCAATTTACATAAAAAGTTGTTCAAATAAAGGAAGTAAAATTCCTTGTCGGTTACCTTATCAACCTTTATTTATTAGTGTTATAAATAAAAAGTAACTTCTGAAGTCTGACTAGCCAAAATGTTCGGATTTCTGAAATTTCTAAATTAAGAAAACCGAAACAAACCCACTTAGTAGAATTAATGATGAAATATGAGCACAGAGTCCTATATGTTTCAATTTTTATAAAAAGAGAATCAATAGTAAACTATTAATGACATACTTCACATAGATAATACCTTACTTATAAAGTCCTGCGCTTAAACATCTTTAATAGGAAATTTCATTTATACATACAGACAATTTAATTACAAATGTTGATGAATGCACTAAAAATATTCATAACTGTGGCAACAATGCAGGCTGTACAAACACTGCAGGAATTTTTACTTGTACATGCAACACTGACTATACTGAAAATTGAGTGACATGTTCTGGTACCAATTTAAGGTAGAACACCCCTAATGGGCATTATAAGAAACTATAAAATTGACAACATAGGACAGTTATATGCCTCAAATGTCACCTGTATGCAAAATTTAAACAAAATTTACCATGTGGTTCATGAGGTATGGACATTTTTCTGAACTAAAACTTTGCCATTAAAAGGTTTTTTTTTCAGAAATGAGGAAACTCTAAATAATCTATAATATCATCATTATGAAAATGTTTTCCTATTGCTCATTGGCAAGAAACAAATTATGACTTTAAGGGGTAACAAATTAAACAAGCAAAATGATTTTTTTAAACTAAATGTTTTTAATATGTATAAAAAGTAACCCTACCCCACTCACTTTTAACTCTTATTTGACCATGTACCTATGTAACAAGCCTTATTTAAAATATCCCTAAAATTTTCCACAATGAGGAGCTGTTTTCAAAAAATTGCTTAAATTTTCTGAAAAGTATTATTGGTTGGTCTTGCAAAATATACAATACTTTTATCGTGTAGTTTTTATTTTATTAAACTTTGAACATATCTGGTACATATTTACTATTTTTGGCATTATTTAGTAAATAAAAACCTACAATAATTATATAATTAAAATGAAACAATTTTTTCTTCCATTAGATAGATTAATAAAAATGTTAAAACGAAAAGAAAAAAAAAAGTTTCCCCTTCTGGGGTTTGAACCCACGGCCCTCAGTTTCAATACACTTTACAGTGATTCTAGCCTATTTGAATACTCTTCAAAGTGGAAATTGTGTATATGGGGTGCTCTACCTTAATTGAATTCATACGTATGCGCTTTTATTTTTATGAAAAGAATTTCAAGAAAACAAGCTTAAATTTCAATTATTCCGTATTAGGTTTTATTTTACCGGAACAGTTTTCCTGATTAGAAACTCGGTATTTTTTTTTATCTTCCGTTATTGAAATGATTGCATATGATTTATTTTATATATTCAAAAGAGAATATAATCACATAAACCGCGGCGCAAGAGTATAATCAAGCCATTTAATAAAAACGATATTACACTAGTATAATAACTAATAATTAATTATTTTTGCTTTTCATTGGATGCTTAAGTTGATTTATATGCTTCTCTCAAAGCAATGTATGTATTTCTACAAAGTGCTCACCTAGGAAAATGAAAATTCTACATCGTACTCAGTTTCAAATAGAGAGGCATGACAAAAATCATTTTTATTTATATTTTTATATACAAATAAAGTCAAGGGGTTCTCTTATTGATATGACACTTATCATAAGGTACCTTACAAATGCAAGACAGTTCGTTCACAGTTGCAATCAAAATGTTCAATGTTAAGAAACAAATATTGAATGTAGTAGTAAAAGATGTTCACGTAAGAATGGTTACTATCATTACATTACCATGGTTACATTACCATCGCAATTACTTCAGGAAGACTATTGTTACATTTCCTTTTCATATTTATCATGTTATTATGCTAAGACATCAATATATTTATTCTTTTGCTGTTCGTTAAGCCACAGGAAGAACATCTTAATGAAAATACGGATCAGATAGGACTAGGATTAGATATGCATTAATGATGAAGATTTGTGATCTAGCAATTTACTTAATTTACTAATTAACTACGGCAGGTATTCTCTTAAATCGCACCTAGAATTAATATATGTTCATAAATGTGAATGATTTAAATATATTTATTTATTAAATGGAAAAATTTTCTATTTTACTGTTCTTATCAAGCTTTAAGTGATGCATGTCAAGATTCCAGCCAGTGTTCAACAAGCAACGCAGAATGTGGTAGTAGTAGTGGTACTAGAATCTGTCAGTGTAGAAATGGATATTATGATACAAATGGTGTAGAATCTGGTGGATCTTGTATGCAAAGTATGTTTAAACATTTATATTATTCAATGTTATATTATTGTATCAAGTATATATACACGTCCTTTTATATTTATCATGTAATTATGCTAAAACATGAGATGTGATTCCATATATTTAAATTTAGTCTTTTTCTGTTCATGCTTCTTAGACTTTGATGAAGTATAAAATTAATTTGTAAACTTGCTTTTTCCTGTGAGCTCTTTTTTATTTATGTTTTTATTTCTTTACCATTCCTTGATGAACCACAATTAAATGCATTCATTAAATATTATTTATAGCAGGAGATCTGTAACAGTTTTATGATTGTAAAATAGGTTTTTTTTTATTCTAGATCAAATTCTGAACATGTGTTTATATTCATTAACAATGTTTAACAATTTATTTATATCAGAGGTTTATGTTGGGAGTAACTGCCCTCAACCAACAACTTCTGTGCCAGATACAGCTACCTGTAGTGACAATAATGCTAGATGTATGTCAAGTGGTAGTTCATATACTTGTCAATGTATAAGTACCTATTATGACAATATGAACAGCAACAGAATCAACAGGCAATGCATTTTAAGTAAGTTTTATACTTCTTAAAATTCATTTATTGAACATGATAGAAACACTATTTAATAAAATAATTGTTCATAATTAGACAAGTAACCTCCTCTTATCCTTTGCCTGAACTGAACAATTAATTGTTCTATGTATGAATTCAAATACTAGTTTTGAAAAGAAATATGTTAAAGGTAACGATAACTGAGCTTGAAGTACAACTTTTTATTAATAAGTTATGAATAATTTATGCAAAAATGTATTTTGACAAAAATTAAAAACGTGTAATTTGACTTTGTCTAGGAAGAGCTTTGGAGATACCTGCAGTGGCACATATTCACATATTATATTTGACAAAATCAAAAAACAAAACAAAAAATTATATTTTTGTCTGCTAGGAAGAGGTCTTGGAGTTACCTGCAGTGATAATGGTTACCCAAGAGACCAATGTTCAGATTCAAGAGCTTCATGTATATCGGAGAGTGGAATATACAAGTGTAAATGTGATCCTGGGTATCATCAAGAACAACAACAGTGTGTAGCAAGTGAGTAAACTTCAATGTTAAAAAATAACAACAGTTAGGCAGGATTCCTCTTTATTATAAATTTATTTTGTACCTGTCTCCTAAAACATAAAATACTACTAATAGCAGACATTGGATACAGTTTTGCCAAATTGCTAAAAGTTTTATTGATTTTTATGCAGTATAATCTTTATGTGAAAATCAACATATTAATGACTTACACAATATTTATCTGCATTTCACTGAAAGAAGCTGTGATGAAAGGATAAAACTGATTAAATTGGAACAAATAAGGAATTTGATGTTCAAATTTACATTTTCCAATTTTCCATGTTCGAATATATTCGAATATTCGTTTTTACAAAATTTGTTCCTCTATTTCTCTTTTACGTAGTATCCGACATTGATAAGGTTGAATACTATACTAATTTAATATTCTTGGAAAAATCGACGATTAAGAAAGACTTTAATACTATGTCAAAGTTTTTGTTTTGTTTTATTGATTGTAAATCTTACTTTTGAAATAGGATCAAAATTTGATTGTCTTATTTTAGTTTATCCGGCTGCTGATCATTTGTCTTACTAACAGGAGGTAACACATTGACATATTGACTGACAGTACTATGAATCATTTTAAGGACTAACTTAATATTTGTTTATTGAAACTTAACTTGTATTCCTTTTTTATTATTTATTTATAATTTTAGATAAGCTATGAAACATTTTAAGGGTAAATTAGGCTTCCGCAATAAAATATCATATGGAATCTAATTTCTACGTAATGTGTAATGATCATCTTAAAATATTGAACATATATGTTTTTATCTTAAGACATTTATCAATTTATCAGAAAGATTAAAGCACAGAAAACAATAAAGTAAGATAAATCAAATCGGGAAAATAAACATTTTATGCTGTTAAACAGGTAAATAAAAAACAGTGAAACAGGTGCCTTTTTGATCAACTTATAATACCCCAACTTTTCACAAATAATTAGCGATAATAATTTATGTGTGTTATACAAACAAATGAACAACTGGTCAAGCGAAGGTCAAGGATTTAATTCATGATCTTAACTGAAATTTGAAAGTTAGAAAATTTCATTCCTTTTTTTCTCTCCAATATTCGTATTCGTTTACCAATCTTCAAATATTCTGATGTTTTTTTCAATCTTCAAATATAATTCCTTGCCCAATAATTGACCTACACATATTTTATATTTGTAATTATTACAAAATGTGTTTTAACATGCTTATTAAAGATAATTATGATGTGTGTAAGTATTACAAAAACAAAATGTTAACAAAATGTTATAGACTAAAGGAATTAAAATTGTACATCTTATAACATTTAAATGTCACAAAGTATTTCAAGCACGTGTCATTTCAAATTCTTTTAAGCTGTTTATTTAGTTATGTATTACAGACACCTTATATTAAATAGAATTGCATCAACATGTCAGGTTTTCTCTCTAAAGTTTTACTCATCTGTACATTGTATGAAATGGAAAAGACATGTAATGTACTGACCTAGTTACAGTATTAAAAAGTGCCACCTTGTTGTTACAATGTATCTTCAATGTCAAAGGATGGAAACCCAGATAATAGATAACATGATAGTTTAATGAGCAATAATGAAAATAGTTTTTGTCCCTCCAAAATTGTGAATCTTTCTTTTTTCCACAATTGGTGCCTATAAATGTCATTTATTGGGCAGAATAACAATACATGATGCACCACAGATTGTGAAAATCGTCTACATACTGGACATATCCTGATATAATCATAAGAAAACAACTGACTTAATACAAATTCAACTGTTATACAATATTGCATATAATCACGATGTAGTTGACTGAAGCGCCAAGCATTGCATGGTAGTATCTCAATATGAATACATAAGAAGCTAGATAGCATCATTTTTGTATGTTTAATAACAGTTGCTTTAACAGTTCGCTTCCCATTGCTATTAGATGGAAACACTGCACTGAAGGTGTAATCGTTAAAATATTGAATGCAGTTGTATTTTCCTAAGAGTCTGTATATATGTGGTACAAACACTAATGTTTTGCTGGGATGTTCCATGAAATACTTCATGCGCAAGTCAAATCATATTTTAACTCCCTTCGCTTTGTCTAAAGCTATGAAATTTGGACCAAGGTGCACAGTTTTAGATGTAAAATTGAACTTTGATATCAGCTGATCTAGGTAATTTGATGAAGTGACCTTCTTTCCGGTGCTTTGATTTACATTGATATTAGCTGACCTAGAAAATTTGATGAAGTGACCTACTTTCTTGTCCTTTGATGTACAACTATGAAATTTGGACCACAGTTTCAGATGTTAACTTGATCATTGAACATTATGGTACTTATTCATAGACAATGCAATAACAGTAACTAGACCTACCTATTAAAATTAAAAAAAGGAAATACTATATTTTTCTGTTTAATTTTCTAGATTTGTTATTTGATTTTAGAAAAAAATATAAAAGTTGAGAATTGCCCCCGCTCGCAAGTTTGTGTGTTTTATGTTATATTTGTTTATATTTTGCCAGATAAAGCTCTTGGTGATACTTGCAATTTGGCTGCAACGGAAGCAGAATGTTCTGATCCCGCTGCCGTATGTTTGAACAGCAAATGTACATGTAATACTAAAAGTTATGATAGCAATGGACTAGTAAATGATGGGACATGTATGCCAAGTAAGAAAAAATAAAGCAGTATTTGGAGGTTTTAAAATATTAATTATAAGATTTAAACTTTCATTGTTGATGCTGTAGAGGTAGATAATGGATTACATGAACTTTTCATTTTCCAAAATATTTTAAGGCATTCAAACTAACTAGCCATCCATTATATACAGGTTAAACATGCAAGATAATCATTGTAAAATTGAATAAAACTTTGCTTAATCTGGAGACTGTTATAAACTTTCTCAGATTGCTGCTCTGTCACCAAACTTGTTTGTTTTGGCAACAAATGAACATTCAAGATAATGCTTTGACTATCATGTTTATTTTGCCAACAAATGAACAAGATATAATTCCATGATGCCTGACATAGGAATGTTTGGACTTTGAAAACATTTCATGGCATTATGTACTTTTTTCATGAAATAAAAAGGGATATAAGGGCATCTGTAACCAAATTCCAGTCACTTCCTCTTACTTATGTGGATTTGAATCAAGTAATAGACTTTGGTTTCGTTCATGCGAGGAATCTATCCAGCTAGCTTAAGGAAGATTCATGATTAAATTCAAATGTTATTATCTTAGATAATGCATGGAGGGTCTTCATCTACCACTTTAGCTGGAATAGTCTCTTTATAAACTTTCACAGTGTAAGTATTATGACATAAAATGAAACAAACAAATAATAAGATTAAGACTAACATAAAGTACTTGCATATAATTTTCATTGAAAATCTCATATGCCCATTTGATAATACAAATATTTTTTCTTACAATATTTTCTTAAATTATTAAACTTTAAATACAAAAGTAAAATATAAAAATCATGTTATCGGAATTAATTACTGAGTTTGCTGTATCTTTTGATATATTTTATTGAAACTGGATAAATTGAAAGGTGACAATTTCAATATGTTGCTTTCTTATAAAATATGCTTGAAGCATATGTAGGGAATGCTAGTTATTTTATTTACATTTTAGTACTAGCTCCTATTGAGAACAATTATATGATCTTCAAAAACGTTTTACAGTGGTTTAAAAAAGTTCTGAAGAAATATTTATTCTCACTATTTACCCTCTCTATTTTCAGTATCAAATTTACAAGTTAGTAATGTTGGCTTCAGTTCAATACAAACTGATAGGATAACAGTTACTTGGATCATACCCCAGAATTATAGACAGTACATCAACAGATTTAAAGTGACTTGGAGACCAACCAAAAATAACAATGTAAACAACGATTCAGGAGACCTAGCCTCTTCTCGTACATCATACACCATGACACAAGGAATAGATGCTGGTAGAGCATATACAGTTACAATCATCTCAATCAACGATCAAACACAACAAGGATCATCACGTACTGCATCAGTTATTAGATATCAGGCTGCTAGTAAGATTTTCACCTTGTATCATACTACTTACGTGTCGTTTCAATATCTAATGAATTATATTTGTACAACGTGACTTACTATTTATACAAGGAGATACATCCTGGTCTTGTATTGAGAGCTTGACTTGCATTTGACTCAAATCCACGAAAGTTTGTCCGCCAAGAGCTTTTTTATGCCCCCGCCATGTAATGGCCGGGGCATATAGTGTTCCGTCCTTCTTTCCTTCTGTCCTTCCGTCATTCCTTTCTTCCGTAACAGCCTCCGGAATAAGTTTGCAAATCCGGAATTTTCGCAAACTCAGCTACCTTTTTTAAATTGATTAGAGAAATAATTTAAAGACCAGTCAAGAATAGGGAGTCAAGTAGAAGCTGGCTTTTGAATAGAAGATACCCTTAAAATTTAGAAGATACCCTTAAAATTAAATGCAGGGGAGACATTCAAAGTTGGCTCTCCCATTGGGGTTTTTCGATTCCCCCACTGGGGATTTGGTCTCCCAGTGGGAGTTTCGTGGGGTTTCATTTCCTCTTTACGAGAATGGGAGAAAAAAATCACGGGAGAATTAAAAAAAAATATATACCATTATTTTTAGAAAAAATCACAAATCTTGACTTTAGATATTCCTTCCTAAAAATATAGATCGAAATATAAATATTTTTAGAATCTCCCATTTTCATTATGGGTGAAACGCACCCATGGATGAAATCACCCATCTTGATAATGGGAAGAAAATCCCATTTTGATAAATGGGATAAAATCCAATTTCTTATAATGGGAGATAATTCCCATTCCTTGCAAATGGGAGAGTGTTCTATCTTTTAGGTGTGGCGCTTATAACATATAATACAAAATATACGAATAAAATAAAATCCAAAAATCAAATAAAATGACAGGGAATATGCAACAAAATAATAATAATAATAATAATAATATATAAATAAATAAATAATAGATCTAATAACAAAAATAATAAAAATAATAATAATTATTATAATAATAATTATAATAAGAAATAAATAGTGATAATAGTAATAATAATAATAAAAAAATAATAATAATAGATAAATAATAATTATAATATATATAATATTTCAATGATAATAATAATAATTATAATAATTTATAATATTGATGATAATAGTATTGATGCTAATGATAATAATAGTAATTAGAAGAAATAATAATAATAATAATAATAATAATAATAATAATAATAATAATAATAATAATTATAACAAAATTTTATCTTGGAATATGACGGGAATGAATACAGGAAAGTATCATATGTAACGATTTAATCACCAAAATTCATTTAAATATAAAACAATCCAAAATGCTTTGATGTACTCTTCGCCGGTCTGCTATCTGTATTTTCTGTCTCGTCCAGTCTATTTTGACATTCAAATAGTTTCACAAGCTAAATGGCAAGGCTCTCCTGGTTTTGAAGTATATAACTTATTTGAATTCAATAAATATAAATACCGCGGTAAGATTTTTTATTTTTCGAAAAACAAACAATATTTTGATCACTTCGTTTAGTTGTAATAATAACCTTATAGAAAACAAATTTTTAATATTGTTCATATAATGGATAAAACGAACCAATTCCAATTATGGAAATTGTTTCATTTTTCTATTGTTATCATCGTCGGATGAAAAATTATTACTGAAAATTTTTCAAAACAAACAAACAAAAATAAACATTATTTATAAGATTAAACGGTAATATGCTCGAATGGTAATCTAATCGGTGTCATTCAGATTTTTAAGACGTAGCGATTAAGTAATAAGGGATGAAAAACAAGTGTGCCGTAAGGCGTGCGTAGCATAAAGCCATACATGTAGTTATTTTGTATCAAAATATAAACATGCAGTCTTTGAAAATTAACATAACGCCGCCTGTCAATCAAGCTGACAGGTGTCACGGAGATAAGCCAATCAGCGATCGTTATCAGTTTCTCGCTAAGATGCCTGCGAAGTCCACCATTTAACTAAAAAAAGCTTCCTGTCTATTTAATTTTATGTCAATTTAGAACTATTTAATTAGTACATTTATAAAGTTACCAAATAAACTGGCATATTGATGGACCGAGTAAGTTTGTTTATTACACAAATAGTCAATAAATTTCTACATACGGAAATTAATATACAAAAGCAACGCATTATAAAAAAATCTGTGTTTTTATTCATACCGATTTTACCTGCGCATTTAGGCATAACTATTAAACGGTAACATATATGCTTTACAGTAAATCAAACTGTGAAAAGAGACATAATAAAAAATTCAATTCAATTCAATTCAAATATCTTTATTTAACCAGGTATAAATAAAATACATAAGGGGTTTACAAAATATTATTTTACAATATATAAGATCAGGTTGTAAAGTCCTGAAAAGATAATGCAGTATCAATAGTCATTTAGTCATAATTTAAACAGAAATATATAGAGGATATTTGTTTGTTTGTGTGTAAGATGAAATTTTATTTCATCGAGTGGGCTTTAAAAACAGTATTCTCACGAGTGGCGAAGCCACGAGTGAGAATACTGTTTTTAAAGTTCACGAGATGAAATAAAATTACATCTTACACAACAAACAGACAAATTTTCTTTTTATTTTATGCTTAAAAACAAGTTAAAACGAAATTTCCATAATTTTAACGTTAATATTAAAACTGTTTCCCCCATTGAGAGCCCCATTTATTCGGAATTTCTCATTAAAAAAAAAGAAGTCTTGAGCTGAAAATAAGTCCGCCAATCAACATTAAATGACGGTGATATTTATTAATTTTATTAAAAAAATATGAATGATCGCTTGTTTTGATAATAAAAACAAACACTTCTTGTAGGGAGAAAAAGTCCAACCATCCATCCATATTTCTGTTACTTAGTGCAAATTTATATTAGACCTGGCTTTGTAAATTTGTAAGCGGCAGCCATTTTTTAAAGTTGTGTATTTCATGGGAGGAAAATAATTGTGTAAGATTCAGAGGGATATAATTTGGATTTGTTAGTCATACACATTTTTAAAAGAAAGAAAACTTATTTGAGGATTGTAACAGACAAAAAATAAGTGTTGACAGATGTGAAAACATTCAGAAAAGGAGCTAGGAAAATGGAAAACTTGGGAAACCTGCTCAAGAACGCTGGGTTGATTTAACTTATTCTTCGAGTTATGGCTGTCAATGCTTTCAATTTTCATAAAGCATACGGCAGTTATTGCTCGTAGGATACTTTAATATGCCCAAAATGTCATCAAGAGCAGTTTTGCATGGGGAAGGAATGTATTTTTTGAGACTGTCAAAATGAAACAAAAAAACGAAATTTGGTGATTGGAATTTCATGAATTTGAATGAAATAGAAGTAAGTTTTCTTCTTTTTATTACTTTTGACATTTAAGTTTTTTATGAATTTCAGTTTTGCTTTTTCTTTAAACAGCCTGACATTGTCAGAATTGTCAG